AAACATTTTAATACTAATCTAGAAAATAAAAACATTATAAAAATTGTGCCAACATTTAAAATAAATGATGTTAAGATTGTGAATATAAGGTGCTGTACACATTTTTTCAAAAATTTGAAAAATTTTGCCAGTTGAAGATCATTTTAAAAAATCTATAAACAGAATTTTTTTTAATATTATAAATAATGAAAAAAAAACTTCTAACCAATGATAAAGACTTTTTAATAATTTAATATGATAAGTACTTTAAAATAATGTAGACATTTTTTGTACATAGAAATTGAAATTGAGCTTAACTGAGAAATATCTACGTTATTTATGAACTTTTATTATGGTACTCTGCTTATATAGATTATACAAATTCAGATAAAAAGCTGAAATTTTTCTTTCAATCACATTGTCTGAATTTTCAATATTCAGAATATTATTTGAATTTTTAGCCATAATTGTAGTTCTATTCACATTTCTCTGAATTTCTAGCTATAGTTGTGTGAATATTTCTAATTTTAGTGTCTGAACACTTTTATCTAAATTTAAACATTTTTATCTAAATTTTTATTGTTTCTAACCACTAGAAATTCAGACAAGTGTCAAGCTGTTTTACTTTTTAATAGCATAAAAGAACTTTAATGTTAAATTATTAAAAAATAATTATCTTAAAAAAATTACGATTTTTGATAATGAATTAAAATTATATCGTAACATAATAATATTTCTATGAATTAAAATTAAGGTATAAAATAGAAATTCAGAATTTTTATTATGTCCCTAGATTGCACTAGAATTCTCTTTCTCGCTTTTGTTAAATGTCAAACGTTAACTATTAGATATTAAAGGAACAATGGCAACTCGATTTCTTGAATTAAACAACATTTTGATATTTTTATACTTTCATATGTGTCAAAATCTCAATCCATTTCTATAGTGTCAAAGTAACACGTTCATATTAATGTGTGCATCTAGGTAATAAACTTGAGTCAAATTTAATATATTTTCTTGATTTAAATTATTTAATAATTGTTTTAGTTAATTTAATTTAACAATATATGGAAACAGTGACGACTTACAGAAATTAAAAATAACTCAAAAATTGTAAAATTATAATTATGAATTGAATAGTGTATACTTATCTTACTATACTTAAATTCCAAAGTATAGGTACACTTTAGCCATAGAAAACAGATTTGTAGAATAATCGCTCTACACGGAAAAAAACATAGCTGAAAACTTCACTGATTTAGCACATCTATAGTAATAAACAGACAGTCAACTTTCTATGTTAAAATAGCAAAGTTGACAGCTGAATAACATTAACGATTTGTTAAACCATCAAATCTTCTTAGCTATCGATGTTGAATTCGCGTAATAAAATTATAGGTTTGCTGTACCATCCAATTAATTTCTTTCCATGTAAAACATCCTGTTGAACAATTTTCGGAAAATAATTTCGTCGACATGACGTCGCGATAGAGTTTTGGGATCACCAGACGCGTCGATCATCCGCATCGTTATCGTCGACGTAAACGAGTTTACGCCTTTTACGCCTGCATGATAGCTCTTGTAATCGATCCGCGATGGCGTTTTCATTTTCCCCGTCTCTCGACATTGATTGCGGTGTACATCTCCGGCAACTAGCGTCCCCCTTATCTCTCTTTCCCGCATAATCTCACGCAGGACATTAATTTAGCGTTAAGTGCGGGAAATGAGGAAGAATCACATGTTCAGGTGGAGTATGCGTGTGTGCTTCGTGTATGCATCGAGTTGACTGATACTTTGACTGATGCTTTTTATTACTGAAACTTTCAAATATCTGCGACATTATGTCTTGCGAATTTATGTTTCATTTTATTATACACTAGAAAATGTGAAATAGAAAGTGATTATTGTTTGCTTATTTGTGCAAAAGAACTTATTTGTTTCAATAGAAAATGCTTATTATAATAGCATCATTTATAATGCGAGTATTTTGAAAGATAAACAGATCAGTAAAATGAGATGTAGTCAAAATTGATAAAGATATAAATAAATGTTCTCTGATATTGTTAAAAAAATAATATACGAAAATTCTATTAAAAAAAATTATTTTATAATTAGAAATATAAAGAACATAAGAAAAAGTCTAAAATTGCATAAATAAAATTGAGAACTTTATAAAAATGTGATCAATCGTTTGGTTTCTGAAAAAGGTCTGAGAAAGTAGAATAATATTATATACATATAATAAAGAGTATATGAGGCAGTATACACGGTCTGACAATAAAGTTTTCAAACTGCAATGAAAAAACAAAAACATCTCAGATAATAAATCATATTTTATCTTTCAAAATAGTTCTCCGTGACATATACTTCATACATTTTCTTTCTTTGATACACTTCACACATTTTCTTTCTTTAATACAAAGCTTCAAAATATTTGTTAAAGTCCGTAGTTGGAATGCTATTCAAAACTCATCATATTTCTTAGAATATTCTCGACATCTTGAAAGTATTCAGCTTTCATGTTTTTGAGTTTTTAGGAAACAATATGAAAGACGAAAAAAGATCAGATCCTGGCACAATAGTTAATCTTAATAACTTCTTTCTTGATCAAGTTGCATGATAACGTCTCTATGTCACAAGAGAATTATTGTTTTTAATATGTTGTTTCGAAAGCTCAAAAATATCATGAAAGGTAAACATTTTCAAGGTGTTTGAGGATCATTAGAGGAATATAACAACTGCTATAAATAGCATTTTTTTTAACTGCGGACTTAAAAAAATGTTTTGAAGTTTTGTATGAAGTGTATCGATATCACTAAGGACTATTTTAAAAGATAAAATATTATATAAAATTTTATTATCTCATATGTCTGTTTTTTTTTTTATTATTACAATCAGAGAATTTTATTATCCAACTATCTGTTATTTACAAGCTACATATATAATTATTTGCAAGAATTTAATATTTAAATTTAATATTTAATATTTAAAATTTAATATTTGATGATATGTATAATTAATGTAATGTTTACGGCGAAATAACCGATTGAGTCGGTTTATCGTTGTCAGGAGTAGACGACGAATAATAGTTCCCAGCAAAGGAAGTCATCAATCGACTAGATGCAAATATATATACGAAGGCATATTTGCGAGACACGGCGTTGTATCGCAATTCGTGCGTTTAATTATAAACGGACAGCAAGTTGTTTGGGCATAATCGATAGCGCTGGATAATAAATAGCAGAGCGTGTGCTATTTTCTCCTACATTCGTACGAGAGCATCTCCGATGCAGAAGTTACATAAGCACGTCCTTCGAATATTTTTTTTCTGCAGAAATAATTTTGCATCTCAAGTAGCTGGTCTAATGCTCGTTTTCTCCAATATTATAGATTAACCCTCCGTCTATAATTTAGGTTCTTTTTACATAAGCAAAATTTCACTTCCAAATTTCTCTGAAATAAAGAGAAGGGCGGAAATCAGGTTTTCTTCCTAATAAAATAATCAACAAAACTATAATGTAATGGTAATATAATAGAGATATTGAAAAATAATCCTGAATTTTTTTACATTTTCTGAATAATAAAAAAACTTGGACTGGATAAAAAAGGGCCAGGTTGCAGACGAAGGATTAATTTCTATTCAACTTACTTTTTTTCTAATTTTTAGAACTAGGAAAAGATGAAGAGTTAAACCGAAGTTAAAATTAAATTATTTTGATTAACATTGATAGAAATGCCACTCACTCGCAATCTTTATTCTTCTCGATATAAAATATTTTTAATTCAAGATCAATAGTATCGATATGTTTGTTTATTTACACTAGATTTATCTAATTTTCAAGATGAAATCTTTGAAAAGCAGAAGGCTGTGAAGAAGAGCGCTTTTCAAGCATTTGCTCGATGATCGCAAATTTATTTCAACACGCTTCGCGTTTGACAAACGCCGGATCTTTATTTTAAAGTCCATCTTTTTCTTATCCCCGCTTTTGCGCAAGTCGATCGATGCTCGGACGTTCATTTATTTCACTTGAGATGCACCCTTACAAAGAATCGCCGTCATACTTATACGTATCAGATCAGATGGCGGCGACTCGCGAAGCAGATAGAGATATCTATTATTTACTACATGTTGTTTTCATTGCGTTACAGTTTTAGAGTAACCGGAGACGATGGATCAAGGTTTCCCAGGGCAACATACCACCACGACCACTGTGACGACTACTACCACGACGACTCAGCCCAATATACGGTTCGACCCGTCATATGCGAGGACATTGCCCGGCATACTAAAAATCGTACAAGTAGTGAGTGTGACACACATTCATCCTTCGCTTGTATAATTTTACAGTAATTTTGTTAAGCGATTTACGAGAAGTACTTTTAGTATTTGATTTAATAGTCACTTGTAAGTGAGTTGCTCGACAAGTCTCAGTATACCATTATTAAAAGATTTTGAATCATAAATTAATTATTAAAGTTCAACGTGAAAGATATTAAATTGTATGATATAAACTTCTTATATTTGAGTCTTTGAATTTATTAATTTGAAAAAAAATGCAGATAAAAATAATAATTAGTCGAAAAATAGTCAAGAACTAGAAAATTAAAGGAGACATTAATTCTTGGCTCGTTAAAGCATTTGTACAGCATGAACATTGTGTATAAAATGCATGTCTATCGTGAATTACAGCGGGCGATATAAGGCCAGTTGCGTCATGGGCTATAATGGATTCTTAAATCTCTCACGACAGTTACAAGAGCCCCGCGAAGCGCTTTGTATTTGTGCATAATGCGTGCTTGCTCAGCTGCGCGATGAAGAATTTTCAAGAATGATATTCACGCTGGGGTCTTCTTTCAGGTACTAAATCTCTTAGGATTTATATGCATAACAGTGTCGGTACACAGCAGTCACAGCCGGGGAGGATGGTTCAATACCGTGGCCATGGGCGGCTTCTGGTTCACGGGCATCCTTCTCGTTCTCTACCTGTTCCACATTGTGGAGAAATTCGCCAGGATTCCTTGGCTTAAAATTGTAAGTCATTGATCGTGCTTCGCATCATGTATGTTGTTAATCGATTACCTTTTGATTATCAGATCTTTTATTTTGTTTATGTAAAGACTCGTTTAAAATAAACGCAAATAAGAGGAAGCGAGAGAGTAATATATAGAACAGGTCGTATTCGATAATACCGGTATAACGCGGATACACACGTGTAATAAGAGCAGGGGGTGAAAGCCTACTAGAAAGTTTATACGCGTTTAATATAAAAATCAACCCGTTGCTCTGATTTTTATATTCACGGGTGAACGATCGATCGCGAGCAATATAACGAGAACAGTTGTCGCCTATGCTGGGCCAAAGATCGTTTATAATCAGGTTGACCTTTAAGAATGCCGAGGTTATATGGTATTATGTAGGCGTCATAATATCGTGTAACATCTCGATCTACAGATTACGCGTTTTACGATCAGCGCACGAACTCAATTTTCATCGCTATCGATTGAAGATGTTCATCTATATTCTACAACTTGATGCATGTAATTTCAGGAATTTATATTCTGCACGATATGGTCCCTTTTCTATTTACTGGCCGCTTCCCTGGCAGCTGACTTCGCGCGTTACACAGAGGCTTTCGGTGTTGCTGCGGTAAGAATTTTTTTATATGTCTTTTGAATAGCATTGTTACGTCTTAATCAACGCAAGTATCAAAAAAAAACGTCGACAAAGACATTCTAATTCTCTCATAAAAGAGAAAGAACATAAGTCATTGTAAAATAAGGAATTTTTAAAAATATAAATCTTTATCGTTTAAAATATTTTTTTGCTGTAAATATTTTTAAAGCTTTTTTTATTCTTTTCAAAATAGTCAGCAAACGAATATACTCTTCTGATGTTTAATATTGAAATTTATTTACAGTTCTTCGGATTTTGCGCAATGGTGGCATACGGTTACGACGCTTGGCTGAAGTTTAAGGCGGCAAAGAGCGGGGCGTTGGCGCAGGGCCAGCACACACCGAAACAAGTGTCCACCGTCACCAGTCCGGCGTATTAGACATCCAAGAGAGAAAAGGGCCCATGGTAGGATGGACCACATCGATTGATCGATTGAATCGATCGACTCATATCGTTACCTTTGTGCGGGGCCAGTTCTTTTTGTAATTCCGGCGTGTTTCTCTCGCACGTGGAATGTCAATGGCACGTACGATGTGCGTGCGTAGCGCGTGCTCGTGCGTATGTATGTATGTCGTTTGTCCACGCCCGCGCACATATATTCGACTTTCCTTTCGTCTTTTTTTTTGTACTCTGTAACAAGGCAATAATCTACACTACGCCGTAGTATTAACTTATATTCTAATAAGAAGAAGAGGGCGACGTGGCTGCGTGCGCGCTTTATCCGAACAACGATTGTTAATATTTTGTAATAATGTTTGTCGCGTTTTTGCTTTCGATCGACTGTTATTTATGCGATGATGTATGTGTACATATATATATATATATATATATATATATATATACGCATAACAAAGTCTGTAAACGTGTTGAATCCGTATCTTAAATTATTGTTGGAACCAAGGCGACGCTTAAGCATCGTGGTGGTGGAAAACGATGATGCTCAGGCGGATTTTAGCGCGATATCGAATGCCGTTGCGAATGCTAGATCTATTTTAATTCTCTGGTTCTTGTTTACAATCGGACCGGTCAATTTTATCTTCAATGATTGTTTTCTATGTTTTTGATAACGAGATGCTTTGAATTTTCATTGATTTTTGTCAAGTATTTATATATTTAAAAAATTCTCTATCTAAAGAATTTAAATTTAAGAGAAATGATTGAATATTCCAGATGAATGAACTTAATGGAGACCGTTATTCTTGTGTAAAATGATAATCCAAGAGTAGTATTTTCGGTCGTTTGCTAGCAAGAACAGAATATTAAAAAAATTAAGATGCTGAGAGTTTTTCCCCTTTATCGTCGTATGTAGTCTTCGTAGAAATTTAGTAAAAATTTAGATTTCTTAGATTCAATATTTCGCTTTGTAAGTCCTATTACATAGAGGGATCAAGAGTGCAGGCTACGACTGCACAAATTGTACAGAGGGACGCAAGAAAATAATGTAGCTTGATCACATGTACACACACACAAATAATACGTATAATAATTACTTGGCTCGCGACGAACATTGCCGCATTCGTCATATCGGATCATCGTATCGCGTTACTCGGTACGCATAATCTTGCAGATCTGACGCTCACGAGATTTTCTCTATATGAATAATTTGTTACAATATATCGAAGAGTAGTATACTCTCTGTTGCAACTTGCGTAAACTGTATATATTTATTAGTTTTGTTACCTTTATTCAAGTTCGAACCTATATAGGTACAACATCGATATGTACACAACACAGTATATACTTGTATCAATGTCTAGTTAAAAATCTGACGTGGATATTATTATACATAATAATGATCGACGAAATAAAGTTTCAACGTCGAAAAATGTATTCAACGAAATAAAATATTGATTGTTGTTTCCTGGATATGGAATTCAATCGGTTCGCTCTCGATTCCTTTTCAATCAATGTGGAACGAATGAATTTTACCAAGTTAATATTTTACGAACAAATAGAGATTACGCGAAAGATCACGCGAATTAGATATTTGTGAATGATTTTTTATTTCCGTTAAGTATAGGGTTACCTCACGATTTTAAGTCATTTCACTTACATAATTCTGTCACTTATGTATTTCTATCATCGTAATGAATATTGTATAATCAATATTGATGATTAATTTAGATTAAATGAATTTCTTATCCCTTAGCGAGCTATATTATAGAGAATTATCTCGAGTTCAATGTAACTTTTGGAGATAAGATCATTTATAACGTTATTATAATATCTCAATTTATTATTTTATTTATTAAGTCTAATTTACACTAAATAATCTTACATGAAATTGTGCGTGATTTGTATCACTAATATCTCGATATCTTAATTTATTTATTTAACTCTAGTTATTTATCCTAAGAAACGCATGATTTTTTTACGTTATGAATTACGATTACGCGTTAAATGCGACAGGAGTGATGGCGAATGTGCGAAATGCGAGTCCCGATTCCTTTAATTTCTGTATTGGAACTGAGGGCGGCGCGCTTGCTTCTTACCCATCGATGAGAGATCGATGGTTTTCCCGTCCGGGAGTACTAACTTGTTTTCTTGATAATCCACGAAGCCATCTTCCTCCTCTTCCCGGTCTTGCTCGTCGCACTTGATTCCCATCTCGTACGTGTACTCGCGTCGGATACCGTCCGGATCGATGTATCCGTACTTACCGCTCGTTATACAATCCACGCCAATCGTCTCCTCCTTGTACGATCCATCATCGTTCTCAAAACCCCATGTGATGGAACCGTCTGCGTTGTCGTGCCGATATCGTCTAATAATCTACGAAATATTATTCGTTATGTCAGACATTGGAAAATCTTTTCCAAGAAAGAAATCTGTTTATAGATTTTTCTTTACTGATGTTTACATATGACATATTACAAACCATTAAAGTCTATTTTAGAAGATCTGTAGTTTGCATCAGATTTCAGAATACAATCCTATTTATAATTTCAATATTTCTATGTATGCATTTTACATATAACATATATTTTATTATTTACAAACATTCCATTGATTCTTTATATTTTGTATATAGCGTATAAAATAGAATTTTACTCGGAATTCTGATTGTTCGAAGTAATTTTAAAACTCGTTTATAATAAGCACATAAAAATATCGGTCATTTCACAAATTCAACTAGAGACCATTGCGTAACGAGGCATGAACAGGTTTTATCTGATTGCGTTTATGAGTTGTACGACGTTAAGTATCTCAAAACAAACAAAAAAGAGCATGATGATCAAATAATTCCGGCTTTCACCTTTCAATTTCAAAACTATCAATTTTTTATACTCTTGGGCTACGTTTCAAAACTTCCTCTCTGAAGATTTTACTTTATATGCTATATATATGTTACGTACTACATACGTAAAATTTTCCTTAGAGAGGAAATTTTGGAACGTAGCCTTAGATTATATTGATCTTTCGATTGCGTGATTCGCGATTCATATTTTATTCCTGTCTATATAAAATTATTTACAATGGATGCTTTCTATTTGATGACACAAATCGACACAAGTGTCGTTTTATCTGCGTCACTCTCTGAATGTCAATAAGGATAGAACAACGCTTGTATCGACGTGTGTCATCAAATGGAAAGCTCCTAATATTAAGTAGAAATTGATCGAGGAATGTTCAAACATAAATACATGAAGAAGGTTATATTCGATCAAGGCTAGTCTTATTTATTTTATTAAGCATTATTGATCAGCCTTTACTGAATATAGTCTTTTTCATCTGTATTAAAATTATTTCGTTATGAGATAAGAACTTATTTTAGTTAAATTAATATTCTTCTTTTCCTCGTTGTCTTTTGTTGGAACGTGATAAGAATAATTGACTACGATTGGTCAATTTTTTATGACTTAAGACTTTATAAGCTTAGGTAATAGCTTATTGTGGAAAGCCAACAAGAAGTTATTCGCGGTCTTGGGGGAGATGTTCTATAGCGGGCCTACCTGAGCTACTGGCTTCTTGCCGCGAATTTCGTAAGCCTGAGACGGTTTCACCGGTTTGGGCGGCGGCTTGATTGGTTGTTGGAACGTAATGTCGTCGATGATCTGTTTCCTCGGGGCCTTCGTGGGCTTCTGCGTTGGGCGATATTGGATGGGTGGAGGTGTCGGACGGTATTGAACGGGCGGTGGTGGCGGAGGTGTCGTGGGACTCACCCTAACATTCGTTGGTGTCACTTGGGGTGCACGATACGCCAGCTGTCCTGAGGCCGCTGGAGGTGCTTTTGGTGGATTTGGCGCTCGCGGTATCTCCTCACTTAGATCCTCCACGCTATCCTGGCTCCTGATCTCTTGACTCTGGTCATCCTCATCTTCACGGATGGTATCGCGCGACAGATTTTCCTCCTCGGGTTCCTCGTTCACCGGTTTCACATGTGGCGCAAACGAAGGCGCGGCTACCGGCCGGAGAGGACGGAACGTACCGGACGCGTCGTCTCCGGGGCCTCCCCGGGGTCTAGAATTTTAGCGATTTCTTCAATTAACAATTAAATACATGCTTATGCATTACAAGGAAATTTACGTGTAACTCTCACAGATATTTAATCATTTTTAGATCGCTTAGATTATATCGATCACACTTAATGAGACGTAATAATTTACTTTTTAGAAAATGCAAAAAGTGGAATATGTGAAAATGCCAAGACTATATTTTACTCTTTACTATTTACAACGTTAGACATGTATTTACATACTTACAGAATCGCTCATGTGGAACGGTATTCGAACTTTCTTGTTCAATTTGCATGCCTGCAGTCCAGAAGCGATAGAATCATATGTTAGGATTGCGTAATTCTGTGGCTGTTCTTAAATACACGTCGATAATTTCGCGCTTCCTATTTGGTGCAATGTTCGCGGACGTTGCAACGAAATTTAAGACCCGTTTATTTACTAATTAACAATAGCGTGTGTAGGTTTATATTCTGCATCTTTCGAACAGATATGCGCGTTGCCAAACTGGTTTTCCTGCCTTTCCAATAGCTCGAATAGTTTACTCGCGTAGTCAGATTATGCGGACTTTTAATACGCGATTTATTTATATTTGTTGCAGCTAATTTTTCCAACAAGGTCATATTTCAATGGATATATCATTGAAAAAAATAAAAAAATCTTCAGAAATTTCGTCATAAATAGCCACATTTATCAAAAACATATTTATCAAATTTAAGAAAAAATATTTAATAAAATTAATTTATTAAAGCCTAACTGAAAGTCTTATTCATTTTCATCAAATTCTTCTAATCTCTACACAATTAATCATCCTACATTTGAATCAAGTATATTATATGATTAATGACTAAAATATTATTTGAAGGATAGATCGGTCAACTCATATGTCACGAATTTTGATGTGTTATTTAAGAACAGATAATTATAAGAAAAGAATTTTATTAAAATTAATTTATTAAAGACTTGAAAATTTGCTCTATTAAACTTTTCTGAATGCTATACATGATTAATATTATTATGTAAGTATGTATATTATTCCTAAGTATATCTCTAAGTATATTATTTCTTAAGTATGTTCCTATAAGTATATTGTCCCTATAAGTATATTGTCCCTATAAGTATAAGTATGTCTCTATAAGATATTATATTATTAATGATTAGAGTATTACTTGAAGGAGATCGGTCGACGAAATCGTTGGTTGGGAAACGCCGATCCGGTACCGCCTGGTCGAGAGGGTAATCTTTGATAACGATTCGCTCGTATCGGGATTGGTGCTCCCTTTGGCCCATCCTGAGTCTGTGTCGTGCAGACCGCGACGACGCACGCCAAGAACTGGAAAATTTCTTAAATTATACATTTATAGGTACGTTATTCTTTAATAATACAATTATATTATTCTTTAATTATACAATTATGTTATTATTTTTCATTCCTCAATTGCAATCTTCTAGTCATATTTATTCTTTGGAATTATTACAAATATGAAGGATAAATGTTTTTATCGTTTAAGATTCTGTAGTTCAAACCATGACAATCTCATTTATAATTCAATGATATTCGTATAATAATAATAATAATTTTTTATTTTGCCAAAAAAATTTGTGGAAATTCATTCTTTCTTGTCATATATAT